CAGAGTTCCACAGGGTGGGGGGAAAGGGTAACACAGGGGGTGTCACTATGGATAGAATGCTGCATTTGGGGTAAGCATACATGAGTTCAAATCCAGCTCCACCACTCACTATCTGAGTAATTGGTTAAATAATTGCTTAAACTTTCGAAGCCTCAGTTTCATCATCTAAAATATGAAGTGGTTAAACCAAGTGACCATTAAGGTCCCTTTCAGGTCTTGAGCTATGATCCTATGAAGGTCAGAACTGACCTAGATTCTCCTTTCCAATTGAATATTCTACCCAGAAAACGTAATTGTAAACTCTACAAGTAGTTCATTTAAACTAAATTCAAAGTGTGGTGCAGTAGAATGAACACTGGACAAGAGCTCTAAGGTCTCAACTCTGCCATTAATTTTGTGACCTTGGGAAAAATCATTTAACCTCTTTGAGAATCAGTTTCCTCATATGAAAATGAGAAGGTTGTATTACATAAGCTCTAAGATCCCTTTCAGGCCTAAAAAGTCTATTAATTTTAACTTCTTAGATCAACATAAAAATAACAACTCACATTTACATAGCACTTTGAGTTTTTAAAACTGCCTTCCTCACTACAGCCCTGTAGTGAAGATAACAAAAGTCTTATTATTCCCATTTTACACATGAGGAAACTGAGGCCTACAGAGATAAAGTAGTTTATCCATGATTATACTTCATGGTGGTAAAAGTCAGATCCAAGATTAGACCCAGGCACCTACTGCAGGTCCAGTGTTCTTCCAACTACTTCACAATACAAAGAACCCACCTATCTAGTGATTTAACAAAAACTGCTTTTTCCTTTTCTCTGCCCTTTACCATAGCATAGCAAGTGGAGTAAAGTGAACCTTTCATACTCCACAACAAGAGCTTGGGGTTTGATTTGTATTTTGTGGCTAAACTTGGATCAGTCTTTTTTGTCTTCCAAACCCATCTGTCCCCATCACAGCTTCTGTCCATGGTGCTGATCTCTTTTTCCTTCAGTGAAAGCAAAGGAGTTCTTCAGTGATTCTGAGCCAACACAAGTTTTGACTAGGTTATAGGAAAAGTCACATGGACATTAAAAAGCTCAAAAGGCATGTAGTCCCTAAGGAAAAGGAATGCTGGAACTCTAGTGCTGAGAAATTGTGACTAAAAAATAAAATTACGACAAAGGGGAAATGACCAGAAGGCATGAAAGATGAAAAGTTAATGGTAGCTGTCCAAATGAAATTCTAAGAAAGTGGAAAATTTTCTTCAATATTTGAGTTTCTATTCAGGCATCAGTAGGAACACTAATATTTATGGCAAAGGACATGCTCTATTTCACAAATTCAACAATCCAGCCAAACAATACTACTTATTATTCCCTGATTTAATCATACCCTCTCTTATACCCAGACCTTTGTTCACACTATTATCCAAACCTAGAATGCCCTTTTCCTCAGCCCCAGGCCAAGAACTAAAGGTTCCCTCTAGTTCTAATTCCAGTGATCTATATGACCCCTGTACTACCACCCTAATTCTACTGTGCTTTGACCTTTAAGTAGCAGTGTGATATAGTGGAAAGACTGTTGGCTTTGGAGTTAAATAGACTTAAGTTTAAATCAAAGCTCTGACATTAACTGGTTGTATGGCCATGAGGAAGTCAACTAACTTCTCTGAGACAATGTCTTCAACTATGAAATTTGAGTAATTATACCTAACAGGGTTGACGTAAGAATAGTATTTAGTAAACCTCAACTACATATGAATTACAGTAAGTGTCAGTCTCACTCATTCCTCAGGGCAATTCCATGGGGAATTAGGACTGAATGTGGAAGTTCAGGTAAAAACATACACCAAACTTTTCAGGGTATTGTTACCCATCTTAAGAAAAATTAGTTCTTTGAAATTTCAGGTTAGTGCATCATTTTCGGTATCATATATACAGAAGTACTAGAAAAGCTTTGATCATGACTTTGCCAAGCCCTACACTGTCTTAGCTGCTCACCCTTCCAGCTAGAAACAGTAATGATCATGATGATGATGATGATAACTCCCACGTGTGTAGTGCTTCAAAATTCATTGGAGTTTACAAAGTATCTTTCTGACAACGCTTTGAAATATAATATCAATAGATAGCATTTGTATAACACTTTAAGGGTTGCAAAGTGCTTTACACATATCAGTTCATTTGATTCTCACAACAATCCAGTGAGGTACATATTGTTATTATACTTATTTTACGGATGAGGAAACTGAGGTTGAAAGAGGTTTAATGATTTGCCCAAGGTCACACAGGTAGCAAGTATCTGAGGCAGGATTTGAACTTAGGTCTATCTTGTCTCCAAGTATCAAACTCCATCAACTATTCCATTTAGTTCCCTGTAGTTGTAATGAGATACTTCTCTAGTGCCTGTACTTGCTTCTCAATTTGTGTCATAAATATGGGATGCCCACTCTTGAAAACTCCTATTCCATCATCAAGTAAATAGTGCAAAATTTAACTTGCTCTCTCCCAGGTTATCAGTGGTCTCTTAATTGGTAAATCTAATCCTTGTCCTTCAAGATGTCTCTGTAGCTTTGGACATTGCTGATTACTCACTTCTTCCAAACACTCTCTCTCTTCCCTAGGTATTCATGACATTGCTCTCTTCTAGTTCTCCTCCTACCTGTCTGACCACGCCTCAGCCTGCTTTGTTGTATCATCTGTGTCCCTCCACCCCTGCATGGATGAACCTCAGGACTCTCTTCTAGTTCCTCTTCCCTTCCATCTTTACATTCTCCTTCTTGGTTATGTCATCAGCTCCCATAGTTTCAATATTGCAGATGACTTTCAATCTACATAAGCAACCTTCATCTCTCTCTTGAGCATCAATCTCCCACCACAAACTGCCTACTAAACACTTTCAACTGAATATCTCATAGGCATATCAAATTCAACATGTCTAGAATGGAATTCCCTGTCGTTCCCCATTGAACCTATTCCTCCTCCTAACTTCTTTACTTCTATGAAAGATACCACCATCCTTCCTGTCATGCTGAGTCATCCTGTATACTTCCCTCTATCAATTCTACATTCATCACATTTCTCAAATCTATCCTTTTCTCTTAACTCACACACCTATCACCCTAATTCACATCCTCATCTCTCACCCAACCTACTGTAATAACCTCCTACTTAGCCTCCCTACCTCCAGTCTCTACTCCCTCTACTCCCACTGTACAGTTGCCAAACTAATAATCCCAAGCACAGGTATGACCACTTCATTCTCCAGCTCAAGAAGCTTTAGTCACTCCCAATCACCCCTAGTATAAAATGTAAACTTATCTGACATTTAAATCACTTCACAATCTGGCTTTTACCTGTCATTCCAAACTCATTTCATGTACCTTCCCATTCAATCCAAACTGGCATATGTAACATCCTCTGTACATGAAATTCTATCTTCTGCCTTTACATAAGCTATCTGTATGCCTAGAATGCTCTCCCTATACATCTTAGCCTTGTGGAATCTCCAGTTCTCTTAAAGATTCAATTCAAGTGCTACCACCTACATATCTTCCAGATCTAATTTTTACTGCCTTAATCACCTATTCCCCCAAATGTTTTGTAATAATTTTGTACAAACTTTGCATTTAGTTATCTGTGTATGTGTTGTATCTCCCAGTGAGATGTAAGCTCCCTGAAGACATGGACTGTTTCTTCCTTGCCTCTATATCCCTAACTAACAATACCTGACACATGGTGGATGTTCTATAAATGTTTATTGAATTGAATCAAATGGTAATCTCCACAGCAATGTGCTCTTTTCTTTTCCCCTCTCTCCAAGTTTGCTTCTTCTAAGAAGCTTTTTTATGATAATATTCACCTACTTCAAATTCCAGGAGGAAGAGGACAGTCATCAAAAAGAAATACAAAATAAATTAACAGCCAATGTGTTTGTCTGATGTGTCTGTGACTTTTTTTACCCGATTCATTTTGTATTATGAACCTCTATGGAAGGAGTAGTTGTGTGGGGCAGTGAATTTTTTGGAGTGTCCAGTGGCTCTGGACTCAGAGGGTTGTGTGGTGTGTGTGTGTGTGTGTGTGTGTGTGTGTGTGTGTGTGTATGTACATGTATGTGTGTGTGTGTTCAGTATTTTTCAGTTGTGAATCAGAGGACCTGTGTTCAAATCCTACCCCTGATATTTATTATTTGTATCACCTTGGGCAAATCATTCATCATCCTCCCCGCCTCATTATTTTCATCTATAAAATGAGGGGATTAGATTAAATAACATCTGAGGTCCTTTTAACTCTAAATCAATGCCTTCTGATCTTTAGAATGAGAACTAATTTTCTTTAAGGATGCGCTCTCATTGGCAAGACAAATATAAAAGAAATATGAAAACTATTCCAAGTTGGTGTCTATACCAATTCACAAAAGAAAATTGGCTATAGAAACAAATACTTACCTCAGAAATCTACCCTTAGGCTGTTATAAAACAACTGAACTAAGATTACAATTATACCTGAAGGTTAAGGTGTACTTGTGAGTATAAATGTGGTTAACATCTGGTTGTTCCCTTAAAAACAATCATTAGAATGATAATAAAAACCTTACTAGCTGTGTGACCCTAGGTAAGTCACCTAACCCCAATTTCCTCACCAAAAAGCAAAAACAAAAAAAAATTATAATAAGAACAACAAGAAAAAAATTATAATAAGAACAACAATAAGAATATTATTTTAGAAAATAATAGGAAAAAATATTCTAGTGCAGAAAATGGAGGTCAGTCTTAGAATTTTAGAACTGGAAGAAAATGTAATGATCATCTAGTTTTACCCTGTCATTGTACAGATTAGAAAACTGAGGCCTGGGGAGGTTGAACAGCTGCATGCTTGATGTTTTATATGTCATTGGTGTTACCACACACCAACCACAATCTAATAAATGAAAAATGTTCCTTCTTTTCTTCCTGGGTCATTTCTTTGTTTCTTTGTTTGTTTTGCCCAGTCATGACTCCCCTGGAGTGTCCTTACCTGCCAGCCTTGGTAATGATCATCTCTGTCCCAATGTCATGGAACCTTTTCCAGAGGTCGGCACACTGGAGCTCAACCTGTATCTCCTCCATGGATGAAATGGGGGGAGGTGGGGGACCAGGAGCACCTGATGTAAGATCCGGGTGAGACTCAAAGGAACAAGATGTCCTCTCCGTGAGCACTTCTGTGTCTGAACCAGTGCTCTGCTCTGAGTCTGCAAAACAAACACCAAACCATAGGTGAGAAGTTCTCATAGCCTTGCCTTATGATGGAGGGGATGGAAGGAGGGCTGAATGAAAGAAATCGGGACGCTCCAGAGCATGGCACTCAGAATATTTTTTTATGGTCTGTTGCTATAATTTATGGCCCAGTTTCAGGTTTCATGTTTCCAACATGACATCTGGCATTTTAGTAAGTTTTAGCAACAGCTGAACAAAATTGTCCACATCACAAGGCATAAAGAGTAGCTAATGTCATTGCATTGGAAAGAATGAAGCATAGGGCATGGGGTAAGCAATTAAATACAAATCAAAAGAAATGTTTTAATTGATTTGAAAATAGGGTTTGTAACCTATATAAACACTTTACGGGGTGGGGGGTGGGACAGAAAGGGCATGCACAGAATTCTCTTGCATCCTGCTCAATTGGAGCCCAGTCTGGGCCACTATGGGTAAATTAGCTCCTCTACACATTATCCCCCACTGCAAGCTTAATGTCATGAACATCCATACAACATAGGATGCTTCAGGGCCTTCAGACATCCTATGTAACATATCTGCTTGTATAAATTCCATTTTCTGAAGGAATGACCTTTTATGGAAGTCCAATAAGGTCATTTTTGATGAAGAAAGGGCTGCTGGCTATTGCAAGGCTAAGGGGGCAATAAACATATGGAATTCGTTACTTGGGAAGGCTGTTGAAACAAAGGGTATAAATGAGTTCAGGAGACACCTAGATTGGTTTCTGAAGTATGAGGAGAGAAGAAGGGGGCCCAAAACAGGAAGGTGGGTCTGAAAGCAACCAAATAAAAAGCTGGTATGCTGAGCCAGATGGCCTTTTCCTCCTCTGACAGTATCATCTGTGCTGATAAAGAGAAGTTGAGGCAATAAAATCAACTGGTGGAGAAGGCTGGGGTCAAGCTTAATAGCAGAGTTGATTTGTGGTAAAATGTAAAGAATGGGCAGTTTAGCACAATGGTACTCCCCAATGGCCAGAGAATCTCAGCATTTTTCAATAATAATAATTTAAATAATAATTCACATTAATATAGTATCTTAAGATTTACAAAGTGCTTTCCACAATGATGACAATTAACATTTATACAGTGTTTTTGAAGTTGACAAAATACTTTACATATATTATCTCCTTTACATACACTAACTCCCAGTGAGTTGAGTGCTATTATCTATTAACCCCCTTTTACAGATGAGGAAACTGAGGCAAAGAGGTTAAGTGACTTCCCTAAGATTACACAGTTAGTGTCTGAGTCAGAATTTGAACTCAGGTTTTCCTGACTCCAATTCCAGCACTCCATTCACTCTGGCAACAACTTGTGAGGTAGATAGTACAAGTAATGATTTCTCCATTTTAAAAAATTCCCCATTTTGCAGATAAGCAGACTAAGGCTGACTTGCTGAAGACTATGCAGTTAACAAGTGTCAGAGCTGAGACTGAACCTGAGGTTTCCTAACCCCTAACTTGTAAGCACCTTTGTGTGGAGGTCCTTTATAGCATGAAGGTCACCATTGGTGGCTATTTTTCTGCTTCCTGGCTCAGGGCCCCCACCCCATTTCCCAAAACAACATCGGTACTGGACAGCCAAATTCTACCTTTACGGTATGCAAGCTACAGCATATCAGAGATGGGTTTATTAGAGAAGCTACACAGAGAATAACAAAGACAATCAAAACCACAGTGTCCTCAAATGAGGACTTCCGGGAACCAGGAACCCAAGGCTGGCCATCTAGTTCCATCTGAGAATGTAGGTTTTTGGGGGCCGGAGAGAGGAGGGAGGAGAAATGATGTGAAGTCATATAATGGTAACACAAGGTAGGAAGAGATGGAGATGAAGGGGAGATTCGAACAAAGCAATATTTGAGAAGGAAGAGAATGCTTTGAAAGGAAAGAATAAGTGAAGATTGTGTGCACATGTACACACACACACACACACACACAGTGTCAACTGAACTGAGACTTGAAGGAAGATAAGAACCCTGAAGAGCAGAGATAAGGAAAGACTATATTCAGAGAATGAAGACATACCAACTGAGGCAAAAGGTGGCATGTTGAATTCATAGAACTGTGTCTATTTGGGTTGGAATTTTAAGAGCACAAAGAAGAAGAATGGGAAATAAGGCCAGAAACGTGGGTTAGAGTCAGACTGCATGGGGGTCATAAGTGAAAGGATGAATAGCTTGAATTTTATCCTAGAGGCAATCAGGAGCCACTGAAGTTTCTAGAGTAACACAGTCAAAATTTTAAAATGGAAAGATTATTTTTTGTAAGCTGGATTGGAAAAAAAGAGAGAGGATGGAAGCAGGTACCAGTTAGAAGGCTGTCACAATTGTGACCACAAGGTGTGGTAGGTTCCTGATATGATATGATATAATATGTCCCTGTCCTTAAGGAATTTAGAATTTAGCTGAGAAAAAAGAAATAATAAAGGAGGAACAATCAGAACAATATAAAAAGATAATATATAGTTAAATGCTAAATATGTGATAATAACTAAAGAAGTCCTCAGTTAGTGGGCAAGAGATATCTAGTGACTAGCAAGCTGTATTTATATCAGTGTGAAGGCCATTTTCAGATGAAGTAATTTACCTCCCTACACTGGGAATAAAACCAAATATTCTTGGCTCCTAGATTTCCACTCCATCTAAAAGATCACACTTCCTCATTGGAAAAAAAAAAAAAAAAGACCTGGTGGGCTTTACATTCAGAATACGGGCTTTATGCCACTTTTGTTACTCTGCTTTGCCAGAGTGCTGCCATTCAGACAAGGGGAACTTTCCAATAGTATATCAATATACCTTTTACATTTTTTAACTATTACTGGATAACGTTATTTGGTTTACCCCAGAGGCTGACCTTGGCCTTTCCGATGAAGCTTTGCGAAGTCCATGTAAGGTGAAAAGTCCAGTTTTTTCCAGTAATAGTTAACACTTATATAGCATTTTAAGGTTTGCAAAGACATGATATATAGATATAGATGTAAGTATAGATATAGATATATAGTCTGATTAACAAGTGAGATAATATTTATAAAACACTTAGTATAAGGCTTGGTATATAACAAGTGCTTAAGAAGAAATGCTTTCCTTCATTTGGACCTCATAACAATCCGGTGAAATGAGTCCTATCATTATGTCCATTTTACAGAGGATGAAACTGGAGGAGTTTAAGTGACCCAAGGTCACACAACTAACAAGGGTCTGAGGTAGGATTTGAACTCAGAACTTCCTGATTCCATGTCCAGCCTCTATCTATTTGGCCACCAAGCTGTCCTCTTATTGTAATTAGTTTCAGATTTGTTATAATGTATCGCCTAATCTTAAAATGGGGGAAAACTTGGACAGGTCCTACTCAAAGCACCCCATAATCAGTACCATCTTCTTTTTCACCTTGTTTCATTCTAATCCCTTCCCCTTTGATTTTCATATAGTCTGCATTCTAACTAAATCAAATTACTTGACATTCACTTTGATCACACTCCATGCTTTCTGGCCACCAACGCATTTGCTCACACCATTCCTCTATAACTGATATCAATCAACAAGCATTAATTAAACAACTCCCATGTTCCAGTCCCTGTGCTAAGAATTACGGGTGCAAAGACAAGAGTGAAACAGTTCCTGTTCTCAAGGAGTTTACATTCTATTGGGGGAAACAGCATATATACATACACACACACACACACACATATACATATATACATATACATATATATATAATGTGTACATATATATATATATAAAATGTTATAAGATATATACAAGGTGATTGGGGAGAAGAAGCCCTAGCCACTGAGGGCATCAGCAAAGACCTTGTGTAGGAAGTGGCTCTTGAGTTTTTTGATAGGTACCTTTCTCTTTGCTCCTTCTCATTTCAGTTGAAATCCTATACTCATCCTTCAAGACCATTCCAAGGGTCATGAGCCCATTGCTGATCTCCCCTTCCTCACACACACAATTCAATGTGGAAACTATCTTTCCTTACTCTCAGGGTTCCAGGCAACTCTCTAGGACTGGAATTTGCAAAGAAGGTGCCAACCTTTATTGGTGGAGGGAACATCCTCACCCACAAGTTCTCTGTACCAAAGAAAAAACTTGTCCCTATCCTTATCCCTAAACCTTGAATAGATTCGTATCACTCTTAGACACTTCTCATGTTATACGTATAAATACATATTGACTAATGTAGTTAATGAGTTCTGCGAAAGGTCATCATTAGGTGAAACATCATTAAAGGAGCACTTAATTCCATAGGAATGATCAATGATGTTACAGTAGAATTTCATAGCCTTAAGGTAATGTTTGTTTATAATGTTATTAATGATTTTATTTAGAAATGCAATTTGATTCAACAAATTCAACAAGAATTTGATTCATTAAAGCCCCCTTCTATATGCCAGATGCTGTGCTGGGAATACAAAAACATAAATGAAATGGCCTCTTTCCTCAGGGAGCTTGGATTCTACATGACAATTATCAAATGAACTCAGATAAGTTAACACAAATGTGCGTAGAAAATAAAGTAACTTATTGTCAGATAGAGAAGCTAGCAATAACTCGGGAAGGATCAGAAAAGGCTTCATGGGGAAGGTAACACTTGGACTCAGCTTTCAATAGTGCTAGGGATTCTAAAACTGAGAATGGAATGCATTCCAGGCATGGAGGACAGCAGCTACAAGGTCAGAAAGCTACATTGGTCAAAGAAATGCTACGCAAGGTATGCCTGTATTTTATATGAGTTATTTTTTGTGTTATATACTTCCCTACACTGTTGTAGCAAAACTTTTTTTTTTCATTTTGTCCCCTCATCTACTTCTCATATAATAGGCACTTAATGACTATTGAACTGAATTGAACTCAAATTGAATTGAATTGATCCGAATGTCACACTGGTAAGGCTGATCCATGAGTTGCCAACCACACTGTAACATGATCATTAAAATTAAATCATGAAAAGAAAATTTATAATAAATTAATAGAA